CTAGTCAAGGAAGGGAGGATATTGCTGGGGCTGCCTCTTCTTCTTTTTTAAAAATAAATTCGTTTTTTTATTTTTAAAAATGATTTTATTTCTTTTTAGAGAGGAAGAGAGGGAAAAAGGGAGAGAAACAGCAATGTGTGGTTGCCTCTTGCGCACCTCCTACTGGGGACGAGGTCCACAATCCCTGCAAGTGCCCTGACTGGGAATTGAACCAGCGACCCTATGGTTCACAGGGCCGGCGCTCCATCCACTGAGCCAGGCCAGTCAGGGATCTTCTTTGATTTAGCAAACAGGCGCCCTCCTGCTGCACGGTGCTGCGGGGTCCCCCATGCCCTGCTTGCTGAATCTGTCATTCTGTGAAACTGCTGAGTGTGTGTTCAGCACATAGCTGCTTGAGACACCAGTCTGTCCTCTAGAGAAAAGACGTCAACAGCAGATCTGTCCCTTGGGAGACTGTTGCCACAGAGGCACCTTCTCCTTAACCCAGAGCACTTCTTGGATTCCACCCTCAGGGCAACCCCATGGTTAACAGGCCAGACGGATGAAGAACCATCTGGAACACAGACACAAGAGGTGGCTGGCAGAGACCCCCAGGAAACCCGAAGGGACCTGGGAAAGGGCCGTTTAGAGCTGGGCTGTCCCTAGCAGAGCCCCCCGCCCTCCCCCTCCCGGCCGGTCCCGAGTGCCAGCCTCCATGTCCCCGCCCGGATCAGCGTGGCTGACTCCTTGTGCGCCAAGGAGCAAGAGCCGCACGAAGTTATGCAATCCATGCCCAACTTAGTGGAAAATAAAAACTGGAATGTGACTCTTAGCCCTGGTTCCTGCGATGAGATAACACTCCCCTTGCTCGGTGTCCAGCGAGTTAGCCAAGCATTCAGAGTCCTCAGTCCAGACTCTGTTGTTTCATTTTTCCAAGAGTTGTTTTTTGCACGGATTTGAGTCATTGGTTTCCTGGTTCCACGGACCAGCGCCGTCCCCCACCCTGCGTCCCAGGCAGAGACCGAGGCGGCTAGGATGTTGAAGAGTCTGTCCAAGGTCACCCTGAAGGAGTTTCCTAAATGGTATTGTTGGCCTTGTGCAAAGCTCTTACAATGGGGCGGGCGGGCGGGCGGGGGGGTGGGGGGGGTGGCAGGGTGCACCTGAGAGAGAACGCCTTTCTGGGAGGTACAGTGGGTGAGGATCAACGGACGTAAGTTACGTGCACAGCAACCAGCTCTCAACGGCCAGCTCTGCTTTCCTTCTCTGTAAAGTGGCAGTTCTCTCAGGGGGTGTTCACAGAAATTAGGGAAGGTAATCAATAGGAACGAATAAGATGCCTGGCCCCTCACTGTTACCATCAGCCTGGGCAAAGCGACGCCCCGCATGGAAACACCTTTCCCTGAAAAGCACCGTCCTAAACCGTCTCTGCCGAAGGCCCAGCGGTCTCCTGTTTGCATGTGTGTTTTTAATTTTCAATCCGTGGACCTTCATAAAGTTCGATACAGAAGGGATTACTCAAGCAATAAAATGAACAAAGATGTGCAGAATAGAATCAGGACGAAACACATGCCCCTGTTCAACAGGCCGTGGGAATCTTCCATCGGCCACACCGCCCCTCTCGTAGACGGCGAAACACAGTGACCCGCTGCGGCCCCATGGCACAGCGGCGGCGAGGCGGCCAGGACGGCCCGCGGCCCGTGGTCTGCCTGCTTCTCACCTTTCCATCAAGCAGGGCAGGGCTGCAGCCGGGAGGCCAGGGAGGCACTGCCCTGGTGCGAAACTGAAGGAAGTGCTAGAAGACTCAGTCAGGGAGAGAAACCCTATTTTAGTGCAGTATTTCTCATAATCAAGGTTATGCTGTAATAAATGATTATCAACACCTTAGTGGCTTAGCCCAACCCAAGTCCAATGCCATCGGACACATGTGACCTCCAGGTTCATGGCAGCGGAAGAAAGGAAAACGGAAGGTGGTAGTGGACCAGCTTTTCCCTGCTGAGCCCAGAAGCCATATACGTAAGCACTGGGTCTTCGCCCATCTCTTCGGCCAGAATGAACCGCCTACCCTGGTCCTATCTGCTGGGGCTCTGGAAAATGGAATCACCTAGATATTCGGTGATCACCAGCAGCCTCTGCTTCATCCTTGGAGAAACATTTATATATAAACTGTACTGTATCCCCCTTCAGATGAGGGGTGTTTTTTTTTTCTTTTCATAAAGACAGGGTCAGGAACAGTGCTGAGCTGAGTAATATTGGGGTCTGAGCAGAAAGCAAAAAAAAAAAAAAAAAATCAGCACGGCCGTCTTTATTGAAAACGTTGACATTTTATTCAGGGTTGACTTGACGGCATTATTTTGGCGAAGGAAGTTGCAGGTCAGGGCGTTCCACATTCAGCTACTGGCTGAGGTAACTGTGGGCCGCGAAGTGAAGGGGAGGATGGGGCTCAGAGGGAACCCCAAAGCAATCACTGTGTCTCTCTCTTGTAAGACTCCACTGATTGGTAAAGGCCTGATGAGTGTACTAACCTCTTTCAGAAAGAAAAAGTGGCCGGCCAGCTTCTCCTGGCGCCATCTACAAGAAACACCCATATTTCAGAAATATTAACAAGTGGACCCTCCCCCTGCCTCCCGCAAAAGGCTCTTAAAATGCAATTAGGTAAAAATGTTTTAAGATTCCCAGGCATTAAAATCTGTACCCCGACAAAATAAACTCAGAGAACACATTCATTTTATTAATGAATGATTGGGCATATTTACACAAGTCAGCTGACAAAAGTACATATTGTAACAATTGCTAGGCACAGCCCATCAGCCAGGACATGAGCCTGGGCCCAGGGGAAGGGCTTAGGAGGGGAGCTCCTGCTCCCTCCTTGCGGCCCCTGGGGACCCTGGCTGGCCGCTCCTCCTGAATTCCCTGTCAGCCTGCATAACTGCTCTCTCTCCCCCGCTTTCCTTCTGAACCCAATTCCCATCCAATGGAGCGATCCGCTCACCCTGGCGAATCATCGAATCATCGTTGTGACCAGGATTAAATTTCCAAGCTAAAGAGATGAAGTTTAAACGGCAGCTGGGGAGCAATGTGGAGAGGTGACCCGTGGGTCTTTTAAACCCCACGGCCCAGGCCAGCGGCCAGCCGCTTTCCCCTCTTAACCGGGGTTCCCAGCATCTAGAGGGATAAGGCAGTCTCTGTCTCCCCCACGCAGCCAGTCGGGAAAAGGTCAAAGCAAGAAATTCCACAGCTCGGGGCCGGGCTCGCCAGCCACCTGGCTTTTGGACCCAGACGCGCCCCCTCCAGAGCACCCGACCTTTCAACGGACACCGCTCCAGGGCCCGGCCCCGTTTCCCAGTCGGGCTTCGTTCTGGTCTGGAGAGCAGGGCAGAAGAAGCCGTTGGACAAATCCACCTGCACCCCGCTCCTGCGGACCAAGGAACCACGCAGGCTATCGGGGATTTCACACAAGATGATGCCCCTGCGTTGGAGAGGGAAGCGGGAAAGGTGGCTGAAACAGGGTTGCTTCTGGCTGGGGAGGAGGAGGAGGAGCCACCTAAGCGGTGTCCCTCCTCCTGCGAGAACACTCTTCGAACCGTCTTCCCACGGGTCCCTCTGGTGTTCCCAAAGCGACCTGTGTCGCGTTTTCTCTGGGTGGCCTCTCCGCATTACTGATTATGGGGTGCAGCAGGACTGACGTCAGCATTCAGGGCGCTCGAGTGACTTTGGGAGCCACCGTCCTCAGCACCTGATCCAGCACTCACCCTACCTCCAGCCAGGGCCAAGGTCGCGCCCTACTGGGGGGCCCCACCGCCACCCAGAAGAACCCCCATGGGCCCTAGGCAAGGTTGGCGGAATGGCGAGGCGGTGGCGCTCTAAGATCGTGAAGGCACGTGGAGGCCTCTCTTCACCCATTTCTTGCCGCAGTCTGAGAGAACTCCGCGTTTCCCGGGGCGCCGGGCTGCGGTAGGGTCCCCGGACACTGACCGCGGATCCACTGCGCAACTCTTGGCGAACCTGAACGCGCGGGAGGGGAGGAGTGTATTGGGACGTGCAAAGCCGCAGTCGCTGCGACCCCTGCCGCACCACGCGTGCGTTCAGACCGCCGGCCGCAGAGCCCCGCGCAGCACGTGCGGATCAATGCGCACCCTACGGCACACCAGCGCTCCCGCTGCGGCCGGGGCGGCGGGAGACGGGGCGCGTGGGCGTGTTTCAGGGGCTCAGGCCCAAACCGAGAGGCCGGGAACCACGCGACACGGGTCAGAAAGCAGCTGCGAGCGAGCCCCGCGCTGCCGCGGCCGCAGGGGAGGGAGCCCCCGCCCGCCGGGCACGCGACGGGGCGCGGGGGCAGCGCAGAGCCGCGCGGCGCGCACTTCCTGTTGGGTGCACGCCGCCTCCCCGGTCGGCCCGCGCTCCCCGCTGCGTCCGCCCCGACCCCTCGTCGACCCCGGGACCGCGGCGCGGCGGTGGGACAGACGGCGCCTGGCTTCCTCTCCTCGCGGGGCCGCGCGAGCCGCGCCGCAACTTGTGCTCGCAGCCGAGCCCGAGCCCCACACGCCGAGCCCGCGTTTGCGCCTCCTCCTTCCCCTCCTCCCTCCCTCCTTCGCGCTGGGAGGACGGCCCCAGTTCCAGGATCCGGGCTGCTTTATTCTGCGGCCGAGGGTCACATTCACACACAAACTGTCCCACTCTCGCCGGAGTCTCCACTTGGGCACGGACCTAGGCGGCTTGTTTTCCAGATCCCTGGGTTTCACTGCACCTGCCTTTCACATTACCTCTGGGAATCTGTGGGAGGAGCCGAGTGGGTGGAAAATGTTGCTTCGCTTTGCAAAAGGAAGAAAACTTTGCCACCCAGCTGGAGACGTCTGCCACGCGTAACCCGGAGAGAGACCAGAACCAAGACAGCCTGTGGCTTTGATTTGGCATCTGATGAGCCCGTAGGAGGAAGAGGAAACGAGCTCGGCGCTCACGCCGACCGCCATCCCTCCCGCGGGGGGGGGCCGGGGGGGGCGGGGGGCGGGCCGCCGGGCGGTGGCCCAAGGTACCTGCTCCACCCTCCCTCCCCGCGCAAGTCCCCACGCGGTGTCTTCGGGGGAAGGACAGTAGTAACGAGCGCGCAGCCCCAGGCGGACGGCAGGGGCCGGGCTAGGAAAGAGGACCGTATTCCAGGAACGAGTCACCCGGAATTAACTTCTGGTTAAAGTTATGGGAAGCGCGGCCATGGACACCAAGAAGAAGAAGGACGTTTCCAGCCCTGGCAAGAAAAACCCCAGCCAGAAGAGGCGGTCGCTGCGAGTGCACATTCCGGTGAGTCTCCGCACCGCGGTCCCCGGGTCCCCGCCCTCGCGTGGCAGCCGACCCGGCACCGAAGCAGTTAACGCGGGCCGCCCCGCGCGCGCCGTGCGTGCCCCTCCTGTCACTTCGGGCTGCTCGCGGGAAGGGTGGAGACGCTGGGCCGAGCTGGGCCGCCGAGCCCGGGCTCCGTCTCTCTCCCCACCCGCGTGCAGACGGGGCTCGGAGACAGTCTGCGGCGGGAGCAGGGGCTGGGGGTGGGCGAAGGGGTGAAGGGCATGCGGCGCGCTCCCGGGCCAGGCCCGCTGGTGGCGGGCTGGGCGTAGTCCCGCCCGGTGCGGGTGCGGGGGGCGGTGCGTAGTGTTGTTTTGTTGGAAAAGGACGGTGTGGACTGCGCTCCGGGGAGGTGGAGCCGCCCGCGGCCGCGGGGGACGGAGGGGAGGGGTAGTGGGTGGGGACAGCGGGGGAGGGGGGTGGCTGTGTAGCTGCTCCCTCAGATGGACCTCTTTCCTCCGCAGTTTCCCTCCGGGCGTCTCTGGACCCGGGGGCAGGGGCCTTTTCTGCAGCCGTTCCCTTTGCCAGCCTTCCCCCCGCCCCCATCCTCTCGGCACATTTCGAACCTGTGGGGGCTCCGGGATCCCTAGCGCAGGCAGAGTTGCGGGGAACTTCAGCCCCGGCCACGCGGGCAGCGCAGCCCGGACTTTGGGTACATCGATCGTCCTGCGGCGTGACTTTGTCAAGGTGGAGGGCAGGAGGGTGGGTGTGCGCCCCGCCTCCCAGCCAGCCCCCCCCCCCCACGTCCCCGGGGTTTGCCTGCCTAGGTAGCCCGCGGCCCGCTTGTCCTCGCCCCCGCGGCCCCGCCGCAGCACCCGGTAGGTTCCCTGTGGGGGATCCGGTGTCGGGACGCGGTTCAGCCCTAACTTCACTCTGAGGAAAACCCCAACCGGGTCACACCCCCGGCCTCCACCAACCAAGTAAATGTTTGCTCACACACACATACTCACACACACACATACACAGCAGAGGGCTCCATGGAGAATGTGATTTTGTTTTCCTCGGAGCTGCCGGTCTTGGGCGCAGGGTGGGAATGCGCAGCGAGCTGCTTCAGACCTCGTGAACGATCATCGATCATCAATCATTCCTGAGAACGCCAGGGCGGGGCTGGGGTGGGGCTGCTGGGCGCCCACTTTCCCCTGCGGACCTCATCAGACACTTTCCTCTTGGGCTGCTCCTTTCCTGTCCTTGGAGGAGGAAGGGCTGGGTACTGCAGCGCCGACCCCAGACATCTGATGGGGGCTTGGGGAGCAGCTCGAAGCTGGGGCGCGCAGTGACCAGTTCTCCCTGTCGCGGAAGCTCCCGGAGCAGGTGACTGGACCTCTGGCTGTTATGAGGCCCTCCGTGTGGTGACCCAAAAATATGCATAAAGAAGCATTCCTTTGAATAGGCATTCTATTTGAAATTGAAATATTCCTGTTTACATAGCTAAGGAGAGGCGTTGTAAACACGTTTGTAAATGAAAAGTCAGGCATCAGGACAACAAGCCTCCCGCAAGCAGTGGTCACATACGTTAGCCATTTAACCCGCTCAGTGCCTCCCATTTGTCAGCTGAGCCTACCTCTCAGGGATGCTTCAGTGAAATAATTTATGGGAAAGCTCTTACAGAGTTCGCATGTTACGTAAATGTGTGGCTGTTATATCTGCATCTGAGCAGCTGATGGAGTGGGGGCGGGGGTGGGGGTGGGGGTGGGGGCGGGGCGGGGTGCTGACGCTGCCCAGTGTGCAGACCACGCCGTGTGGAGGCCGCGCCTCAGTGGAGCGCGTGTGCGGGGTACTGGCGGTGACGCAGGACAAAATCCAGACCTGGGAAAGGGCGGAGAGGCCAGGCTGTGACGTGGAAAAGCCACCACGTAGCTGGGATAGGCTGGCCACCTGTCCTGCAGCGGGCAGCGGCTTTGGCTGCTGCAGACAACGTTCTTGGCATGATCCACCCAGCGCCGACCCCCAGCGCGGTTCCCTCCACTACTGCACTGCACGTGCCCGGCGCTCCGGCGATGGCGAGCTCCACGGTGCACGGGCTTCTCCCTCCGCCCTCACAGGGCGTGCGTTTGCCGGTGGGCCCAGGGGTCTCGAGCGGTGTGCTGGGCTGGGTGAGAGCTACGGTCTAACCGGGAAAGTAAGACGGAGGCTGGCAGGGCACACAACGGCAGGGGATGGCCGGTGCGGACCGTGCCTGCGTTCAGAGGGCAAGGAGAGAAGAGGTGACGGGGAAAGGAGACGCAGAGGTGGCGGCAGGACACACGGGTGAGGAGCCAGGGGCTCCTCCTGACGACCTGAGCACCCCCGTGGCCTCGGGGGTTGGCCGGCTGCGCCCAGGGCCGGGGCGGGGGGACCCCTTCACACGGAGGAAAGGGCTTCCGAATCTGAGGAATCAGACGGTGGCCGAGGCCAGCCAAGGGGGACCGTGGAGAGGGGTCGCCGATGCAGCAAATAAAAATGCCAAATGCCCAGTTAAGTTAGAGTTTTAGGTACACGGTAAATAACTTGATTATAGGACTGTTCCGTGCACCCTTCGGGATGTGCTTAACACTGAAAAGCCGCCCATTGTTAGCTGGGCCCTTGGTTTACCTGGGTGCCCTGCAGCCCCGCCTGGGAGGCAGGCCTGGGGCGTGAGGACCTTGGCTCGCAGTGGTGGTGGCGGCTCACCCGGACAGGGTCTGCTGCAGGCTCGCCGGAGGCCAGGCCGCAGCCTTTGACCGTGCCCTGAAGGGGTCCTCCTGGGTGCTGCAGGCTGGGCTGGGAGTGCTGGGGTCCGGATGATGCCCTAAGGGGCGACCCTCAGGTGGCCCTTGGTGACGTGTGCTCTGCAGACGCCGCAGAGGGTCCCCGCAGGGTCCAGCCCAGTAGACCCCCACGGTAGTCCGTCCGTCAGTGCGCCCTTGCTGGCTCGGCTGGCTTCCCCGCTCACTCCCCGCACCCTTGGGATAAACGAACGAACCTTAGCCCTCTTGCTGTCTGCTTTGGGGGGAATCTAAACTAAGAAGCAACGAAAAGTGACGAAAACTACACTTTCGGAGACTTAGCTTGGTAGCAGTGCGCTAAGTGGAGTCACGGGAAGAGGGGCCCCTGTCAGGGAAACCGAGGCAACTGCTCTGGCAAAAATCAGAGATAGGGCCCTGAGGGGCTGACCTGTAGTGACGTCAAGAGGGAACAGACCCAAGGGAGGCGGGAGATGTCGGAAGGGAGACTGGGTGAGCCGCGGAGCCCAGTGAAGGGCCGGGGAGGCAGGCCCGGGGTCGCGGTGTCTGGTATAAGGAGCTGGTTCGTGGGGAAGAAGATGAGTTCAGCCATAGCCGTGGTGGACTTGAGCCGACAGTGGCACATCGGAGGGGAATGACATCCGCTTCCCTGTCCCCCAGCACCAGGTGGCCACTGGGCCCCAGAGACTGCTATTTCCAGGGACGTTGGGGACTCTAAGGACAGTGTGACTTGGGCCGCCCGGTGGGTGGGGTCATTCAGCCACATCCACAGAGATGAGACCGCCTGGGGCCTCCAGTGTCCAAGCAGCTTGTCTCTTCCCTGAGTCAGACCAAAGCCTTTTGGACGTGATCGGCTTCCATCTATACCCCCGAAACCCCCGCGTGAGCAGAGCCATGACCTCAGAGGTCGGGGGGGACATCACCTGGAGATCTCCCACCCAGGGCCTGGCTCTCTTTAAGCACCTCAGCCGCCTCCTCCGAGTGGCCCTGCCGGCCTGACACACCAATACAGAGGGGTCCGCTTCAGGGGACACCCGGGGCCTGCGGGCGTAGCGGGTAATGCAGAGCTGGAACGGCGAACTCGAGTCCTACGTCAATTGAATTCGACTGACGGGAGGGCGGCCGTTGGCCTAACGGAGGCTGCAGCCCTTGCTTGATTTCAGCCCGTTTCTTTGGCGGTTTGGATCAGCTTTCCGGGAGAGCCCCCGGGACCACGTCGGCGGTGCGAGAAGGTGGGAGAGGCCGAGGGAGGGCTGAGTGCAGGCTCCTTGGGGCCGCGCCGGGCCTTAAAAGTCACAAGGTAGGCGCAGCGTTCAGAGAGCCCTGGCGGGCCGAGCTGGCCCCTTGCCTTCACTCCCCTCTCTCAGCCTTCATCGCTAAGGGGAAGCAGGAATAATAACGAGGCGGAGGGAATGGCTTTAGAAAACAGCTCATTAGAAGCGTGGCGCCCTGCCAGGGCTCTGCCAGAGAAGCTACTGCTGGGAACAGACCTGCTCTTTTCTCCTCTTGCATCCAAGAAAAAGCGGCGTCCCTGGTCATGCTGAAATCCATGCATGTTAATCAATGACTGTTGCCGGCGTGTCGTGGGTCTTTGGAACTGTTTGCGAGCCACTGACAGAGCAGGCGATGAGTGGGGCGGTGGGGGGTGCTGTACAGAGACGGACCCACACAGGAGCCTGTGGGGATGCTGAGCCAGGGGCCCGGTGTGGTCTGCTGACAATTCAGTATCAGCGCACACGTCCCCGGGCCTAATCCTCCACAGCCGCTGGAGACAATGTAAAAATAGAGCCAAGAGCAGCTGGCTGGTCACAGAAGGCTGTGGAGCGTGGCTTGGCGTGGGTGGGCTGTCCCATGTGCCGCCTTTGCCTGAGGCGTATCTGTCCGGAGGGAAGCCTCATGCCCTCCGAGCTGGTGGCAGGCTGGTGCCTGGTAGCCTCCCTCCAACCGCAGGCGCTAGCTCAGGCATTCGCCCCGGCAGGGGCGTGGCCCGGGGTCGGCAGGGGCGGGAGCTGCCCTTCTGTCCCAGGGCTGGAGGACCGGGCACCCATCACACCACCGAAACACCCCGGGTAGACGCCTCTGGGAAGGGAAATGGGGTGCCATGCAATGCAGGAAGGGTGTCAGTTTTGACCTTGGCTTCGACCTTGGTCGGTTTGTATCACCTTGAGCAAGAGTTAGGGTGAAGGGCAGTGTTTTTCAAGCGGTGGTTCCTGGACCAGCTTAAGTAGGACCATGTTTAAAATATAAAATCTGTTTAAA